ACCGTGCTTTTAATGAACTCTTTAGAATAAAACAGATCACTGATTAAAAGTGTACTCACACAGCCCTCCGCTCACCACTTCACCAGGTCAGAGGCCCCCGGGACAGAGGTCTGTGCCCGCTCACTCTTGTGCCTACCCAGGAAGTGAGCAGGCAATCGTCAAGTTACTACATCACTGCCCAACCATTTCCACTCTGAGATGGGCTATGACAACCTCTTCTCCCTGACTGCTTTTGGCCATTACTCATCATGTAATTCAAGGTCTATTTCCAAACCACAGAACACTTAACGATGAACTACAGGTAGCCACCATACCCAACACAGGTTTCACTTCAGATGTTAGAGACCTCTGTGCTTATTACCATTTCCTCCTATAAAATAGGAGGGTATTTCCTGGGGCCACAAGTATAAATAAAATACAATCACCAGATATTAAGCTTCCAGAGAGACCAGGCCGTCTGTTCCATTCACCGTTATATTCCTGATGCCTACAGTGGTCGGGAGCATACGGAAGGCGCTCAGCAAGTATTTGTTGCATGAATGAAACCTCTTGTTCTCAAAGTGCCAGTGTCTACAGTTTATAAACACGTAAGTGACAAATATGTAAACAGTCAATGTGATAAGGAACATCTGATGGAAGAGGGACAAAATGCTAAAAATGCCCAAGCAAGTCTATTCTAGTCACAAGCTTAGCAGTCTTCCCATTTTCAAGCTTATGACCACTTCTTATGTAGTAGTAACAAAAACAGCTACCATCTATTGAGTTCTTTCTGGGTACGTGTTATTTTATAGACGTTACTGCATCTGTTCCTTGTAACACCCCTGGGGTGTAGAAGAGGAAACTAAGACTTAGAATGATTACAGGGTCCGTGGGGGCACTAGTACAAGATCTGTCGTCTGGGGGCTAGTGCACTGAAAGTGGTTCTCTGGGCGGAATACTCTGGTCCTTGCGGGGAGGATCGATTGGGGCTGATGAAATCAGAGAGCAATGAGGAAGCTAGTGCACCATTACCAATTCCGGAGGTCAGACGTGGCTAAACTGAGGTGGGAGATGACTGGGGGACACGGGGAGTAAGATACCAAGTCCAGAGAAAAGTCCAAGAAAGACTCAGTGGAATGGCCGACAGATGAGAGATGAGGAGGAGGGAAGTACTCAGGATGACTAGCGATTCTGATTAGCAGTGGTACCAACAGAATAAGAGAAAAAGTATTCACCTTACACAGGGATAAAAACATCTAACCTTGAGTGCACAGGACCGCTTTTTGTTTTGGGGTTTTTTTTAAACAAATGCTCTCTCGAGATCACTCCCAGAAGCAGGGACTATTATCACCTCTGTTACAGATAGGGAACTGGAGGCTCAGGAAGGTTAGACCTTGCCCCAGTGCTCACTCGGCTGGGAAATGTGAAGAGCCAGAATGTGATCCAGGTCACCTGATCGGAGAGCCCCAGCTGCTGACCATTATCCACAGGTGGCTGAAGGTGCCATTTTAGAACATTTAAAATTAGAACATTTGATTCACTAATTAATAAAAACCAGTTAATATACAGGAAGCGGACTGCCTGTATTCTTAAAAAGATGACAGGCTTTAACTATCTAGGGCATGAGGAAAAAAAGTAGGATTCGAACTATGCATGCTCTTCCTTTTAAAGTAGGGGATATTATTCTGTGTGTCGAGTTAGCATGCACCATTTCTGAGTTTTACCCTGACGAAGTTTAAAAATGTGAATGATCCTGGCTTGTCAGCTTAGAGATAATCACAGAATTCATTAGTTATATTACATTTTCACTGAGGGGAGGGAATCTAGGTTAATCCACCTGGCAGTAAAAATAGACTCCTGCAACATTAAAATAGTACACTGCCTCATTATTATTCTAGTCTCAAAGGCTTAACCAAACTCAACAAGAGAGATGTGTATTTTTCCTGTTATCTCAACAGGTATCAATTTTGAACTTAAAAAATGACCATTCAGTAAGCAAGAACTTGATCTCTTGGAGTCTTAGCCTCTTCCTGGGAGGAAACTGCACAGCACCTCCAGTTCTCATTAGAGTATTTTTAGGTGAGCTAATTTACCACACGAGTCCACAAAAGTGTTCTTTTAAAATCCTATACTAGAGGGGCGCCTGGGTGGCTCAGTTGGTTAAGCGACTGCCTTCGGCTCAGGTCAGGATCCTGGAGTCCCAGGATCGAGTCCCAAGATCGAGTCCCGCATCAGGCTCCCTGCTCGGCGAGGAGCCTGCTTCTCCCTCTAACCGTCCCCCCTTTCATGTACTCTCTCTCTCTCCCATTCTCGCTCTCTCAAATAAATAAATAAATCTTAAAAAAAATCCTATACTAGATGGTTTATTGCCAAAGGGAGGGTGACATCAAGAAATTAAACCTTAATACTGCCTGATGTTCTCCTTCTGCATCACATATTTTCTGAGTGTAGGAAGAAGTACGTCTTTATAGCTAGATCTAAGAGTTCCACAAAACAGGAACTAGAATCATCTGAAGGGAGAAATACTCTCTGCACAGGAAAATTGTTGGTATTTTCCCTTCATTACAGCAGGCTTACTGCAGCCTTAAGAACAGACTCAAAATTACAACGGCCTCACTTGAGAAAAGTTACAAGTTTACAAAATTTCCTCCAGTTCTACTCCTTGCCATTTGAACAGTAAAATCCTAAAAGCAGACAGTCAAGAAGTTTAAACAGGAATCTCAGCATCACTGCTACAAAACATGTAGTCACTGTCTGCTAAAGTTCTAGCCCTCCTTGGTCTGAGTTTATCTAGTCCTCACTAGATTTCATTTGTCCAATAAGCTAATTTAGAATAATCAGTACATACAATGTCTAAATCAGATTTAATACACAGTCTATTTAAAAAATCAGGTGTCTCGGGGCACCTAGGTGGCTCAGTTAAGCATCCGACTCTGATTTCAGCTCAGGTCATGATCTCAGGTCATGATCTCAGGGTCGTGAGACCCAGCCCCAGGTCAGACTCCACGATGGACACGAAGTCTGCTTAAGATGCTCTCTCTCCCTCTCCTTCTGCCCCACCCCACCCCCAAAATCAGGTATTTCCATGCTAACAAGGTAGTACGTGTAACGTCATCGGTAGAATTTTAAAGAAAATAAGCAACTCCCTTCACGTAAGGTTGTGGTACTTCAGAAAAGGGATATAAAGAAATGGAGCATTAGCAGAACCAGCAGAGACAAACTAAATCTACAGTTTAAATTACATGTTTGCTTTGCCACTTTCCACCTAGGTAGCTGAGGTATGAACTCTATCACTACCATTTCACAGATTATGAAGAGTGAGTTTTGCAAAGTTCCATGAGTCTTACCAAATCACCTAAATGAGCTCACAATGAGCCACCCATCCCTCAGAGATTACTAATCTTGTTGTTTACACAAAGATTATCACAATTGTGACAAGAGAAACAAAGCTTCCAGACTTCTTTCAAGTCTGAAATTTCTTCTGTCAACTGCAACATTAATAGACTCCTCCAAATACAAATGCATTAGAAAACGATCTTCACCTTTCTTCCTCACTAACTCTATGTTAACCAGCACAATTTCTAACTGTAGGTAACCAAAGATCTTTTGCCCATGTTTTCTTCCAAATGGCAGTTTATGGTTATTTTCATAACAAACTGTTATGAAACTTTTAAAGAAAATGCAAAACTTATGGTGAGCACTCTGTAATGTATATATTTGTGGAATCACTATTCTGCACCCCTGAAACTAAATATAACATTGTATGTCAACTACAGGTCAATAAAAAAATAAAGTGCAAAAAAGAATTCTTTTGGGGAGTAGAGGAGAGAGGAGTGGATGCAGTAACCTCCACCAAGTAAGTTTAATCTGTAAAAATTTAAACCATTCTGTTAACTCAGTTAACAGATACTAAAGGAAAAAGGGGTAACAGGGACTAGTTACTTCACTTCGGGGATAAATGATTAGTTCTCTGAATTATGATTAAACTCCCAAATCCCGCACTAGGGGCTGAGCTGCATTTGTCGCTCTTGCCACTTTGCCCATCCAGTGGTCTCTGGATCTTGGGAGATGGCAGGCCAGAATTTGCGCAAAACTCTAGCTGTGAACTTTACACCGGGAGGCTGACACTCAAATGCTGAGATCTCGAACAAGCGAGTAGTTAGCAAAGAGCACCTCCAGGTAGCTTTGCCAGAACAAGTTCCAGGGTGGAGGACGTACTGCTTCTCAAAGGCACTTCAATCCGCCGAGGGACTGAACAGCCCAGGAAGGCAAAGGGAGCCCCGAGCCGGCGGGAGCCTCCGCTCCCGGGAGGGACCGGCGCCCAGGCTGCGGCCTCCGTCTTTATTTTGAAGCACTACAGGGCCCGTCTCTGCTGCTTGCTCTGAAGAGCTATTTTCGCCCACAGCCAAAATCAGCAACGGCAAATTACACTGCAAACAATGGAGAGGGCGCCCGCTCGGCACGGCTGGCAACTCCAGGGCTGCCGCGCGAAGGCTGACTTTCCGCTCGGGCAGAGCCGGGGCAGCCGCCGCGCGAGACCGGGAAGCCCGTCCGCCGCCGCCGCCGCCCCGCGCCCGAAACCCCGAGGGCTGCGGAGGCGCGGGCAGCACGCGAGGTCAGGAGGGCGAGCGCGCCGTCCCACCGGGGCCGCGGCTGGCGGGATTCCCTCGCGTCCGGGCACCGCGCGGCGGGCGCTCCCTGGCGGAGGGTGGCGGAACGCCGGGCCGTCGGGGACCCCGGGCGCCCGGATCCCGCAGGCGCGCGGGGAACCCAGCGGCGGCGGAGGGCGGGGTCCGGCGGGCCGAGCTCAGCTCTGCCCCCGACCCGGCCTCCGACGCCCCCCACCCCCTCCCCAGCCCCTTCGGCGCGGACCCGTGGCGGGAGGGACCCGGGGAGGGAGAGAGGCAGGCGGCGAGAGACGGGCAGCGAGAGTTCGCGAACACCGGAGCCAAAGCCCACCCGGCCTCGCCCCTCGGCCCGGCGGCCCCCCCCCCCGCCGCCGCCCCGCCCGCGCCTCTCACCCGGGTCTTGCAGCGGTGGTGCCGGCCCGGATCGGAATAGGTCCGGTCCACGGTGAGCGCCGTGTCGCTGCCCGGCATGTCTGCGCTCGCGCCGGCAACTTTCCCGTCTCTCCTGGCCGCCGCGGGGCGAGCCGCCCACCGTGCTCGCGCTCGCCCTGGGGGCCGCTGCAGCTGCTGCCGACACTCGCGCGGCTGCCCTGCGCCGCCGCCGCCGCCGCCGCCGCGGCAGCCGCCGAGGGTGGGGGTGGGAGTGGGGGTGGGGGAGGCGGGGCAGGGACGCCAGAGTCTCCTCCCCCTTCCCCTCTCCCCGCCTCCCCTTGCCCGCTCGCCGGGGCCCAAGACCCTGCCTGCCCCAGGTGCAACTTCTCTTCCTCCCTCGATGAAACTTGAATCCACACTCTCCCACACTGGCTTCGTTTGCCTCAAAATTTGATTGACATCTACCCTATCTGTGGGCTTATTTGTATGTTTATGATAAAAGATGGATTTTTGGCAAGATGTTGAGGCTTGCCTTAAATGCTTTCTTTTATGCTATTTTTTTAATTCAACATGCACTTATTGGGCATCTACCATGGGCCACACCCTGGGGCGGGGACCAGAGATTTTTTTTTTAAAGCCCATGTTTTTCTTATGATCCCGCTGAGCACAGAACACATTTCCATTTAAACAAAGGTCTATGGAGGTGTGTAGTTTAATTTTGTATATGTGGTTCCTACTTGGAAGTCAATATATACATCTTTTCCTTTTAGTATTCTGTTTCCAGTGAACAGTCCCTGCGCACAAGAAATCTGGGGTCTAGGGGCTCCTGGGTGGCTCAGTCGGCTGAGCATGTCCAACTGAGATGGTGATCTCAGGGTTGTGAGATCAAGCCCCCGACTGGGGGCTACACACTAGGCATGGAGCCTGCATAGGATTCTCTCTCTCCCCCTTCCCTCGGCCCCTCCTACCCTCCCCCCACACCTCAAAAACAAATTTGGAGTCTACAAAACAAAAGACTGACTGGTGAACAATTAAATATGTTACCTAAGCCAACATTCAGAACACCTGGTCTGGTTATGAAGGTTGTACTGGTGGGAGACTGAGTTAAAATCTTGAAATTGCAACTGCCCCAAAGAGAACTTGAGTTAGAGGGCCAAGTAACAAGCCTAGAAGGAAGGGAGCATACGATTCTCCCCTTCAAAGGGTTGAGGGGGAGGGTCTTGCAGGCAGAAGGAAAATACTGAGCATAAAACCAAAGGTCTGTTTGGAAAACTTCACCAGTTTAGGGGGTAGCTTCAGGAACAGGAGGACACAAGAAGAAAAGTATGTGGAGACCACGTGGTTGCCTGGCTCTACTTTCAAGGAGAGGAAGTTCAGCCTTATTCTGTGGGTGCTGGGCAGCTGCTGGCGATTTCTGAACGGGGAAATGACAATATTAGGATGGAAGTTGAAGGACATCTATCTGATAGCCGTGTGAAACCCTGATTAAAGATGTGTAAAGGACACTGGTTAGAAGACCACTGCAAAAAGAGAACCACCTAAATGTCCTTCAGAAGGAGACTAAATAAGTAAAATATGATCCATCCATCCAGTAGAGGATTAAGTAACTGTAAGAGAGTGAAGCAGCTCTTTATCTATAGCTACAGAAATATCTCCAGCATACATGGTTGAGAAAAAAGTAATGTGCAGAATAACATATGTAGTATCCCATCATGTGTGTAAAAACAATATATGTATATGCTTATATACGCATAGCATATTTTTTCCGAGAGGATAAACGAGAAATGAGGGAAACAGACAAGAAACTGTTGGCAGGAGAGGGGCCACATACTAGGTGCTTCAATTTATACCTGTGAATGGATGAACAAATTACTCCCATGAGCAGCCCTCCAGAGTTCAAGCCTGACTCTTGGGGAGGGGAGTCACAGTCGTAAGTGAGCAAAGCAGTAAGAACCATTCCAGTAAAGTCAGAGAAAGCCACCGACCACGGAGAAATTCCCTAGGAACTCCGAGATGCAACTAAAGGTAATATAAAGGAGTGGATGCCCCCAAAGAGCCAAAGAAAAGCTACTGGACTGTAAAGACAGGTGTCTATGTTCATCTAGAAAACATGGGCTCTGCTGAGATTGGGGAGACTGGAGCAGAATCCCCACAAAGAGACTTGAATATCAAAGGAGAACAGTTGCTGCCAGGTGGTTGGACCAAACTGACCTTGTTCATGTGTTGTTATATTTAAACTTGGGATGGGGGTGCCTGGCTCACTTAGTCAGTAGAGCATGTGACTCTTGATCTTGGGGTTGTAAGTTCAAGCCCCACGTTGGGTGTAGAGATTAGTTAAAAATAAAATCTTTAAAATTTTTGTTAAGAATAAATTTGGGATAAAATGGAAGCCACATGCCTACCTAGGTAGCTAGAAGAAAGGAATGGGAGATTTATTTTTCACTGTATATGCTTTTTAAACTTGAATGCTTTAATTGTGTGCATATATTAACTATTGAAAAAGTAAAATAAAAAATATATTTTTAAATAAAGAGGGTAAAGTTATTAAAATTTAAGAATAGAAAACTCCATATAGTCCTAAAACCACTCAGGAAATGAAATCAACAGTTTAAAACACCCCCCCAACATGCCCTGCCCCCCAGCTCCCAGTAGAAGACACAACTATACCAGGTCCAGAGAGTTTTTCAGGCAAGTCCTTCCAAAGCAGAGCAGAGAGATATCGTGTGTGTGTGTGTGTTTGTGTGTGTGCGTGTGTCTGTGTGGGGGGGACTTAGAGTGTCCAGAGAAGACCTCCATGATAAGGTGACATACAAGCAGAGAGCTAATATGTAGATAAATGAAAATTTCAGACAGAAGGAACAGCAAGTACAAAGGCCCTAAAGCAGGAACATTTTGGGAGTGCTCCCCCCAAAGAGTGAGGAGACCAGTAATCACTGGAAAGACAGTAGATGAAGTCAGAGACATTTCAGAGACCTGATCATACAGGAAAATTATTTAGGCCATTTTAAGAACTTTGACTTTAATTCTGAAGTACACAGAAAGATTTAGACAATTTTAAGCCAAGTAGTGGAGTGGCATGCTCTGCCTTTTCACTTGGGGAAAAAAAAATGCCTACGTCACAGCATACACAAAAATCAATGTCAGATACATTAAAGACCTGAAGTAGAAAAAACACAGCTTTTAAAACTGCCAGGAGAAAATGGGATAATATCACTATGATCTTAAGTCATCAGAAGCAGGTCACAAAGGGCATAAACCATAAAGATTTGACTACATTAAATTTTTGAACTTCTGCTTATGAAAAGAAATAATAATAAAAGATAAGCCACAAACAGAACTAGAGTTAAAAGAATCACTATGGATGAATTTCACAGTCAATTACTAAGAAACAAACAAACAAAACCCAAGCTGCATGAAAGTACATGAAGATTCCATTCGTGTAAAGTTAAAAAAAATGAAGAATAAATGCCATTTTTATGAGAACAAAGATTTATAACTGAAACTATTAAGAAAAGCAAGAGCTTGAAAAACACAAATTTCAGGGCAGTATTTATCTCTGGTGGGGGGATGAACGATTCAATGGGAGAGAGGTATAAGATGATAAATAAGGCTCTATTTAACAAATGACTATTGGTACACTGACTATGTGTATTCATTCATACACACAATGTTTCCAAATAATTTAAAATTTTAAAGGCAGCAAAGACTCAAGGGACAGATGTGATAATGGCATCCTTAATCCTGATATTTAAATCACCAGTTGGGGGGCGCCTGGGTGGCTCAGTCGTTGGGCGTCTGCCTTCGGCTCAGGTCATGGTCTCGGGGTCCTGGGATGGAGCCCCGCATCGGGCTCCCTGCTCGGCGGGAAGCCTGCTTCTCCCTCTCCCATTCCCCCTGCTTGTGTTCCCTCTCTCGCTGTGTCTCTGTCTGTCAAATTAATAAAAAATTTAAAAAAAAATAAAAATAAATAAATAAATAAAATAAATCACCAGTTGGGGTATCTGCTCAAATAAACAAATATAAGAGCACATTTATAAGTGTTAAAGCTTAGTATAAAAGCAAGATAGTCGGTTACTATTAAGTCATTATGCCAACTTAATCTTACAAAGATCCATTCTGAAAATCTATCAAAGTCCATCTCTGGGTTTTCCCCCCTCATCTACCTGATACCTATTTTTTTCCAGCTCGTTAAGGCTATAGCAAGTATACTGCTTAGGTGTGTTTGTGTGTATAATATGTGTGCGCACAACTTTAGAGAGGCCACACCTAAGTGAAGTCCCTGACAAACCAAGGTTGGGCTTTAGAAGGTGTGTCAGTGGGCACATACTTTCCATTTCTATACTGCCTTAGTGTTCCCTAGTACTCCATCCTGGAAATGCTGACCCTCAATGAGAACGATCAATTAAAACTTCATTAGGCTCACTTAAACGTCAATTAGCTGAGGATGTCCTTTTTTAGGTCACTTATTTCATAAACTAGTTAACCAAAAGCTGCTCTATGGGACATTCATACAAAATAGTATTTTTAAAAACACAAATTAAATAGCACAAGAGCAAGCTCCCCCCAAAAGAAAGATAACAAGCAGAGCTGATCACCATTTGGCTCTCCTCCTGGGAAGCAGGACCCAAGTAGACCCTGTCTCTACCTTCGGAGGCAACGCCTAGGATAGTGTCAGTCCCTGAGAGAGAAAACACAAATGTTTCCTGTCAAGGTAAGAATTGTCTGTGCCTCGGGGCGCCTGGGGGGGCTCAGTGGGTTAAGCGTCTGCCTTCGGCTCAGGTCATGACCGCAGGGTCCTGGGATCGAGCCCCACATGGGGCTCCCTGCTCGGCGGGGAGCCTGCTTCTCCCTCTCCTTCTGCTGCTCCCCCTGCTTGTGCTCTCTCGCTCTCTCTCTCAAATAAATAAATAAATATCACGCTTTAAAAGTCACAAATGCCCCCTTATCAATAAGGAATACAAAGGTACAAAATCTAGGGTGTAAAATAAGAATTTACTTCCAAAGTGTAAGCAGCCCAGTAAGGCAGCACATGCTAATAAGCACCGAAGAAGTAGGTGGGGCCGTCGGGCCGTCTGAGCCGCAATAAAGTCTGGGATGAC